GTTCAATTTACCAACATACAGAATAACACCCAGTGCTCATCCCGTCAAGTGTCCCCCTCCGTGCCCGTCACTTTTTATTTTTTTTAAGATTTTATTTATTTATGAGAGACACAGAGAGAGAGGCAGAGGGAGAAGCAGGCTCCATGCAGGGAGCCCAACATGGGACTCAATCCCAGGTCTCCAGGATCATGCCCTGGGCCAAAGGCAGACGTCTGCTCAACCGCTGAGCCACCCAGGCGTCCCACCATCTCCAATTTCTTTAGTGTCTTACAGTTTTCAGTGTACAAATCTTTCATCTCTTGGGTTAAATTTATTCTGAGGTATTTTATTTCATTTGATCCAATTATAAGTGAAACTGTCTTCTTAATGAATTATCAGAAATTATTAGTAAGTAGAAACACAACAGATTTTTGTATATTGATTTTTATATCCTGCAACATTACTGAATTCATTGATTAGTCCTAATAGTCTTTTGGTGGAATTTTTAGGGTTTTCTATAATATCATGTCATTTGCAAATAGTGACAGATTTACTTCTTCCTGTCTAGTTTGGATGCATTTTATTTCTTTTTCTTACCTAATTGCTCTCAGGCTGGTCTTCTTGATATAGGGACCAGTGAAGGCCCATAACAGCTTCTAGACCCTTGAAATGGAGCAGCACTGCTCACCATGGTCCTCACCTGGCCCGACCATCCTAGTTCCCTCACTTCACTAGCATATGAGTTTACAAGTCTTGACTTAAAGTAGGATCAGACTGGGTAATTAATTAACTCAATGTGAAGAACAGACTTGATGTTTACCTATTTCAGAAGTGAACAAAGAGAGAAAGAATGTGAGGGAAGTTAGATCAAAGGGAAGCTGTGTAGTTACCCAGACTATTACGATGAGATATTGAGGCTCTCTTTCTTACAGATAATGTATATTCTTCTATCCTAAGTGGATAAGTTCACTGTCAGAGGGAGTCCTCCACTGCAAAACAGCTGATGCTCCCTAGTTGGATAAATTCAGCAGGACACCCCATCAGAGCCTCTCTGAATTATGTTGGGGTCTAGCATGCTTCGGGTTAACTCCTTTAACTAGCAAACTCATGGACTCAGGAATTTTTCAAGAAAGGGGTTCATTTCCTCTTCTTGCTCCCCATCCCCTTGCAAAATAAAAACAGAAAACAACAAGCAAACAAACAGTTCCATGGCACATCCATTGTCCACATTCTTTTTTTTTTTAGATTTATTTATTTATTTATTCATGAGAGACAGAGACACAGGCAGAGGGAGAAGCAGGCTCCATCGGGAGCCTGATGTGGGATTTGATCCCAGGTCTCCAGGATCAAGCCCTGGGCCAAAGACAGGTGCAAAACCGCTGAGCCACCCAGGGATCCCCCCATTGTCCACATTCTTGTATTAAAACTGATTTACCTCTGCTAACTTTGATATAAGAGTTCAGGATCCCCTTATTACAAAAAAAATGATTCAGAGTTGCTTTGTTGAACAGATGGCATATCCAAAGTGCATAATTTGTTTGAAAAATAGTTTTTTTATGTTCCTTGTGTTCATCCTTCAAGTTCATGGCCATCACCCATCACCACCTGAGAGTACTTAGTACTTAGGATAACTAAAAGGGAGAATAAATCCTGCTTGCTTTGAACACAACCCAAGGTTCACTGTATGTTCCTGTACTGGCCAATGCTAATCAGCTCTTCCCCACTCCTCCCCTCTTTTGTGCTTATAAATCAAGAGCCCTCAGTATTAGTCACCACAAAAGAGATAATTAGTGAGTACAAGCTGCTACCTTCATAGATCATTCTGTGCCTTGGATTCAAGCTAAGCCAAGAAACTGGAGCAAGCAGCATCACACAATTATGAGTTGCTTTAGCAGAACATTTTTTATTCAAGGCATATGAGTCTGGACGTTTAAATCTAGATTCTGTACCCCCCCAAACCCCAGCTGTCATAAAGACAGCTACGATATGAGGCAAAAGGGAAGGTTACTTACCCATTTTATAAGGTTTTCTTTTCCTAGACTAAAACATGTGACTCTGGAACCCCAAGGACTTGGAACAGCAATGATTTCTTAATGGTATGCTCTTCAGATTGAGATATTTTAAATATCCTCCACATGAATGTGGCAGCAAAATAAGATGTCCCTTTGTTCCATTGGGATGTGCTATATCTTCCCAAGAAGCCATGGCTTGTGCCCTTACCAGCCATTTGTCCAACAGGAAAATTCATTTCCTGCTCTGGCCGGGCACATGGTCAAGGGCATTGCTGCCCCCAAGAAAAGAAAGACTGTTCCCAGTCCAACTAAATAGTCTAAGAACTTCCTTCCCATGCATTGCTAACCAAATATTGTTGGCTTGTGTAGAAGTGTTCCACTCATGTATTTATGACTTTGGAGCTGTTCAAATGCATGCTGGCTTTTATTTTTTCCATCACACAGTGATTCTTCCAATTTTTTTAGTTTCCCGTATCAACTACTTTGCTATTTTTAAGCAGAACAATTTTAAGCCAAAGTAGCTAATCAGAACAGTAAAACCTTCCAATTCATGCAAACTGCTTAAACTCTTTCAGTGAGGGGAAAGACTAGCATTAAAAACTGGAGGCCTGTTTCATCTTTTAGAAGATAAGGGTATAGGATTGTATAACCAAAGTCCTTTTCTACTAATATTAAAACCACATTTCAAAAAATAAAATAAAATAAAATAAAACCACATTTCATCAAATCTAAGATGCCGTTGTTCATAAGAAACATATTTTACGTACCAACAGCTTTAAAAAATGCCTGGTTAAATTATTTTAAAACACCTTTAAAGATTTCCCTGCAGTGTGTGGATTGGTCACGTCAGACGCCTATGGTTTTGAAATCCATTCAGACAAATTTGGTGACCTCTCCTGCCCTCTAGTTGTATTGTTTGGCATGAAATAGGCCAGTCCTTTTGAATGATCTCAGTAACAAAATATAACACCACTTTTTTTTTTTAATCTCCTTGGGGACATCTTCCTTTATAAGCAAATAAAGCATTTCCTTGTCTCTTTACAAGAAAATATAGCATTGCTGTCTTCCTCCTGACAATGAATATTTGCTTTATCAACATCAAACTTACATGCCACTGCTGTTTTTAGAGACTTCTATATATACAGTTAACTTTTCATTTCAGTGCTGAACCATAATGTAATCTTTTCTAAGACATCGAATGGCAAGTAAATTCAACGACGTAGCACAAAGAGTGGACACAACGCAATGGAAGTTACAAGATGGTCACCTGTGACTGTGTTTGCCCTGCTCAGAAAATGACCTCTGCATCATGACTGCAGCTTCGCAGTAGAAACTGCAGGACTCCCTCCATCACCCGTGCATTTCTAATCTCAGGATGTTAGAGTATGAACAAACAAGCATCCTAGAATGGATCCAATTATGGAAGTAGCTACAATCTTTGATGACATACCATATATCTGGTAGGGTTCTAAAATGTTGGCAAGACCTAATATTGACCCGACCTCAAAACAGCCCTAGACGTATGTGCAGATGAGGACATTTAACCAGGTTAACAAAATTGCCCCCAGATTACACAGGTAAATTTCAGAGCAAGGATTCTGATGCAGAAAATAAGCCATTCTATCCACCAGCTCTGTTTCTATAGGTCATGTAAATTGTGTGCATATCAACTGTAGACTGCTGTTTGATTCCTTTGACCTGTAAGAACGTGAAGAAGCATCACTCCAAATAGGCTCTCAAAGGATCTGTGTTTAAAATAGCTCAGCCTTGGGCAGCCCAGGTGGCTCAGCGGTTTAGTGCCGCCTTCCCAGGGCTGATCCTGGGGCTGATCCTGGACACCCGGGATCGAGTCCCACATTGGGCTCCCTGCATGGAGCCTGCTTCTCCCTCTGTCTGTGTCTCTGTCTCTCTCTCTCTCTGTCTCTATGAATAAATAAATAAATTTTTAAAAATAAATAAAAAATAAAATAGCTCAACCACAGATTTTCTTTTTTTCTTTTCCTTTTTTTTTTTTTTTTAACCACAGAAGATTTTCTGTAAGGAACTGATAAAAAATAATTTATTATTAGTACATCCATTATAAGCAAATGGATATTTCTTAAAGGGACTCACCCATATGATTTCTGCCTTCCAACAATTGAGGGAGCTGATGTGACTGTCCACTGCCACTTGCTCACCACAGTAGGATGAGATGGTCAACTCGTCACTACTTTCTGACCAAAATGCTACCTAAGAGCTGAAATGACTTTCTCAGTGACACGTAGATGTACATTCACAGCAAAATATGGACCTAAATCAGCTTATACCTTGGCCTCCTGACCCTGGGGTCTGCTCTTTAACATGGAGAGTGAATGGTTATAGACGATTACCATTTCCTTTCTTAAAGACCATGAATGTAGTTTTCCTTTCCTAATGTTGGAAGACATGAGAATGAATAAGATTTTAGTATACAGGAGCCCCCGGCCCCTGGTTCTGGCCAGCAGCCCAGAGGTAGAGCATGGAAGTCAGCAAGCTTGCCTCTAGAGAATACTGATGCTAAGTAAACCCCTGTGGCTTTGTGGCGATGGCGATTCTGTTTCCATGGACAGTTAAATATGGAATCTGGGAGGAGCTTTGTATTTATGTTCAGTGCTTTGGAAACCAAACCCAAAAGAAAGGACTGAGTGTGACTAAGGACTTTTGTGGTCAAAATAAACACCAACAGGAGGGAATGACCAAGTCCACAGTTGAAGACTGCCTGCCTCCAGCTCTGCTCTTGTAGATACCAGTGTAGAGAGAGCTTTAAGAGAATGCAAAAATCATCTTTTGGCATTTGTTTTCTCAAGCCACTAAATCATTTAGCTGATGAGTGTATATTGAGTACCTCCCTGTGATAAAGGGAGTGGGGGGGAGCAAACATAGGCGCAAACAACTCACGTTGCAAGTGCAACAAGCATGTATACTTGAAGAAGCCTGGTTGAACAATGAGCAAAGCCACATTTTCTGACCTCCCACTGGTTTTTGTTACAGCTGTAAAGGTGCTTCCCACTACGGCCTGACCAAAGACAAGAAGAGGCGCTCTCAAGATGGCTGCCCCGATGGCTGCGTGAGCCTCACGGCAACAGCTCTCTCCCCAGAGGTCTCTGCCGCTGCCACCGTCTCCTTGGTGACAAATGAGCCTGGCCTAGACAACCCTGCCTACGTGTCCACCGTGGAGGATGGTCAGCCAGCAGACAGCCCATTGGACTCTGGCCGGAGCAACCGAACTAGGGGTGAGTCAAACGGGTGGTTGTCTGGGAACAGGCTCCTTGCCTTGAGATTGCCCTCTGTGGAATACTTACTGTAGAGAGTTCTAGAAATGTTTTTTTTTAAAGGGGAAATCATCCTGGTAGTTTTGGCAGCAATCCAACGTCCAATTCTCCAAAGTGAAATGAAACCACAAGTACCTCAGATCATTAAAAACGTGTAATCGAACTTGGTGGAAGGAGCCAAGCTAGGGCCGATGATTTACCACCGCCAGTGTCGGCACCTTCCCATCCCTGCTGCTCGAGAGAAGTGCTGCTACGTTCAGCCCAGCAAAAGAGAAAAGCAGGTTTTTAAACAATCCATACATATTTCATTGTAGAAAACTGAGACTGTGCAGGGAAGCAAATTACCACCTAGGAGTGATCACCGTTCTTGTGCTGTTGTATATATATCTGACCAGACGCGTAGGTAAAAGCAGATTTCTGTGAATGTATAGCTGCTGTTTCTCCTTGTCTCTTGTCCTCAGCACGGCCCTTTGAGCGATCCACGATCAGAAGCAGATCTTTTAAAAAAATCAACCGAGCTCTGAGTGTTCTTCGAAGGACAAAGAGTGGAAGTGCAGTTGCCAACCAAGCTGACCAGGGCAGGGAAAATTCTGAAGACACCACTGCCCCCGAAGGTAAGTGAGCTCCCTGTGGGCCTGGACATGGGCGAGGCCTCCAGGATGACCTCAGGGGTGATGACAACCTGACCCCGCCCACTTTCTAGGACCCCACCCTTCTAGGACAAGGGCATAAGATTTTTTTTTTTTAACCTTGACTAGACTACTTCTTACATAAGTAGCTAAAGGCAGAAATGATTCTCCTCTTTTTACAGAGGTTGAGCAAGTAGGTTTTGAAGCCCTGACCTCCAGGTGCTAGCTTCACACATATAAGAAATAATAATAATTAAATGAAAAGCATTTAGAACAGTGGCTGGCATGCAGTAAATAAGTTCTTATAACTTATAAGATATAAGTTCTTATGACGACTATGCATAATGTGTGGTTCTGAGTGTGTTTGTCCACGCAACCAATTTATTTAATGCTCAGAACAAATCTAGAAGTGGCTGCTATTATTATTACCCTCTTTTACAGATGAGAAAATCGAGGCACAGAGAGATTACCTAGCTTGCCCCGAATTACCTTGCTTAACTTTGAATCCAGGTAGCATGACTCTAGAGTCCAGGCTCTGTTGGATCTTAGATCCTACATGTTTTTGCCAATAAAAATGCAGCTAGGAAATATTTTCTTTTTATCTTCTATTAGAGCTTCAGAGCAATGACAATAGCTTTAAAAAAAAAAATGGAGCTTTCTTGGGTGCCAGGTAATGTTTGTCCTCAGTCATTTAGAGGTCACATGCCAAGGGATAGGGCTGATGATTCTCATTTTGCAGATGAAGCAACTGAGACCCAGAGAGTAACTAGCCCAAAGTCCCCCAGCTAGAAAATGACATCTGACTGTCAGGCTTTCTGGCTCCAGAGTCCACTCTGTCAACTGCTGGGTTATGTTCCCTCTCGTCCTAGGGGGTTGAGAGGCCAATCCCCCACCACGGTCTTTATCATGCCTTCAGGGAATCCATGAGCTGTCCTAGAGAAGCCCTCTTGCTCACCTGTCACCTCTCCCCCCACTGCACACACACACACACACACACACACACACTGCATGCTCTCACTACTCTGAGCTTTACAGTCCTGTGAATATTTCCAGGCTGTTGTTCAATTTTCACTCCCACACCCCTTCTGCTGCCACTCGAATTCCTTCTTCCAGGCTCTGCGTAGGCTTGGCCTCCTCTTAGAAGCCCCCCTGATTCCCTCAGTGCTCTTTCCTTGTGTTCTCGACGTGCCTGCATCGTTATTATAGCAAATGTCATCTCTCATTGCAACTGCGTCTGTAAGAGCAGGGGTTCTTTGGTGAGTGTTTGCATCCTCAAGGTGAAGTGTGATATCTGGCACATATTATGGCGTTCGCCGAATGTGCAGTGACTATAGGATTACAACGTCCTTTCTGCCAGTCCTCCCTCTTATGAAAGGGTCCTGAGCTTTCTAAAGTTTTCTTCTGCCTGGATAAGATCGGTTTGCGTGTTTATTGCAGAAACCTTTCTGAGCAGAGGTTACTGTGTGTGAAGTACTGGCCTGGGCTCTATGATTTTATACAAAGATTATAAAATCCAGTTCCTGGCTTTGAGAGGCTCGTTTATGACTGGAAGAAAATAAAATACCAGGAAGACTGAGCCGTAAACAAATGGGAGCGGCAGCCCCAGAAAAGGAGCATCACTTCGGAGCAGGACAGCATAACCCACGTTTAAGGGGCAGTTTGTGACCTGGATGGGCATTGGGATCTAGACTGGGTGTTAGAAAGCAGTGGGAGGTGAGGTTAAGACTAGACTGGAAGGGTCCCGGATGCCGCTCGGGGTCTTGATTTGGGGCAGTGAGCACACCTGAAAGCTTTTGCACAGTGTTTCTGGAGCATCTGTGTCCCAGGAAGATGGGGATGGCTGCAGAAGCAGGTGTGCAGGGGCCTGAGAGCAAGAGAGAATGGGTTTCTTCAGATGTTCCAGGGGTGTATAGGGTGAGGTGCTAAAGACTCAACAAGGCTGGTAGTGATGGTCTTTCCAGGATTCAAACAAAAGGCAACAAACCTTTCTAATATGGCCTTCAAGTCTCATTGCTTCAGCAACCTGTGGTTGGGCCCGTGAACTCACGTGGCATGGTGTATCCATCCGTCACGGGGAAAGAGGCTCCGCTGCTTATTGGCTGTGTGACCCTGGCCAGGTTACTTAACTTCTCTGAGGTCCAGCATTCTGTCCTCTAAAAAGCAGGGATAATAATAATCTGTTTCATAGGATTGTTGTAAGGACGAACCACCCCCCCCCCAAAATATGCATGCAACTGGCTAGCTCAATGCCTGGCACATAACAAACACTCAGTAAATAACATATCCCTAGTCCTTCGGTGAGGACACGATACTCAGCAACTCTGTTTCATTCCAGACCAGTACAAATTTGGCAGTTGGATTTGTTGTTGTCATTTTAGATTTTATTTATATGGGAGAATCTCAAGCAGACTCTCTGCTGAGCATGGAGCCTGATGTGGGGTCCATCCCATGACCCCAGGATCGTGACCTGAGCCAAAATCAAGAGTAGGATGCCCAACCCACTGAGGCACCCTCCCCAAAAATTATTTTAATGCTTCGAGGTCACTAGGGTCTCATTGGCGTGGCTCTAATTCACGTTATGTAAAAGGACAACTGGGTGTGCCCTTTCACATTCTCAAATCAAACGCCCTGAGTAGTTTAGGTTTGGGAGGATAGTTTCTGTAAATCTCTTAGGGATGGGGGAGGAGCCGACAGGGAGGGAAAGGGGAGCAAGAATCAGCAGCAGCTTTGATGATTATTTCTAAATCTTCGTTCAAAGTGATTTTTTTTTTTAATCGCCACTGCCTGTCACCAGACCTGTTCCAACAAATGCTTATGGTAACGCCTACTTAATGTAATCAAAGTAGTTTAAACATTAATTGAAAGCAATCACCCAAGTACTGTTAGCACCAGGAACTGACAGATTAAGGCCGCTGCCCACAGCCTTCCAGCAAAGCCAATCTTACGTTAAATTACATCCCAGCGGAGGTTAAGACGCGCACTTGCAACGTCTCAGGCTTCCTCTGGCTGCTAAATTGCTTTGTTGATCATGTCCTACGGTACTTTGAAGTCATTTTAATTCTTTCTGTATTGTTCCTGGAGAGTTGAGCACTTCTTAATGAACTCATAGTTCATTAGGGAAAATGGACTAAGGTCATGGGTTTTGAAAACAGGGCTCATTATGCAGAGCCAGACCTGCTGTTTCCCCCCTTCCCAGCTGACTTAATGAAGAGAGAATCTTAGGGCAGAGGCAGCTGTCAGCAGCTAGAGGAGACAAAAGCATCCCGCCCACCGCATCCAAACTCAGCAACCAGGGAGGAGCCGCAGGCGCCACCAAACCAGGTGCGGCCTGCCTGGCATCCCGCGGTGTCCCTTCTGCACACTTCTGTGCAGACAGTGCTGGCTTATGGGTCTCTCTGGTGAGTCCCCCGTGGGACCGTTGTGAATCCCTGGTTGTTCCAAAACCCCAGGGAGGTGGGTGACAGGACGGCAGGTCACCTAGAGCCCCAGGGTGTGACTGGCTCTGAGGGCCACCTTACTTTGCAGCCTCCAGCAGACCGGGTCACTTCCCCACTCTCAGCTCAAACGCCCTCCCATGCAGAATAAAGCTGCACTATGGTGTCTGTTGCTGTCAAACCAGACGACTAAGGAAGCTCTTCTGCATGTGGGCCCAGCAGTGGGGTCGGGTTGGGGTGGGGTGTGGTGGGGGCTAGTGGTGAAGGGACCCAGGAAGGATTTCATGGGGAAAGAAGGGTCTTCCATTCAAAGGTAAAGTCTGAGCTCTCTGCATCTCCTGCTAGCTCTGAATTCAGCAATCCAGCCAGAGCAGGGATGAGCCTCCAGATGCCACCACCTCTCCTTGGTCAGGGATCGGGCTGGCTGACTTCCCTTTATTGACAGCAGTGTCTGGGAGGGAGGCCTGGGAGTGCCCTGAGCCTGAAGAGCAGGGACTGCCGGGGAGAAATCTTCAAAATGGCCTGAGAAAGCAGAAAAGCTGGTTTGGTCCGTTCTGTCCCTCGACAGGGAGGCGCTGAGCCTGTGGTCTCTCCCTTAGTGACCCTTCGTCCTCATGCACCCCTCCACCCTCAGGAGGCTCTGGCCGGCGCTCGTGATCTGTACACACAGCCACAGGACAGCTGCAAACAGTGTCCTCAGAAATCTTAGGGTCCCGGAGGAGGATGAATGAAATGAGCATGAATGACAACAGAGGGCTCAGTGCTGGGGAGAAATACAAGCTTTTGGGGGGGTGGGGGGTGGAATGGGATGTTTGGACAGAGCAGGGCAAGAGGGACCAAGGTAGAGCTTAATTGAAAGGGATCATTTCATGCGAGTCTTGAAGGAAAAATTGGGTCTAGGCCTAGAATGAAAAACATTCCAGGCAGAGAAACCGACGCTGGCAAGGAGGCAGGAAAATGGAAAACATGTATGAGGAACGATGAATAGCTTAGTTTGGCTGACACCAAGGTTTGGCAAGAAGAGGAGGGCTTGGAAATGTCCGCCGGGTGGGTGTCTTAAATAAATACTGTCTTTGTCCATTTTAGTCTTTCCAAGGTTGTATCACCTGATTCCAGATGGTGAAATTACAAGCGTCAAGATCAATCGAGTGGATCCCAATGAAAGCCTCTCCATTAGGCTCGTGGGAGGCAGCGAAACCCCACTGGTCCACATCATCATCCAGCACATTTACCGCGACGGGGTGATTGCCAGGGACGGCCGGCTGCTGCCAGGAGACATCATCCTGAAGGTAGGCCGCAGTCGTGGTGGGGCCGGGAAGAGGGGGCTTGCTAAAATCCCTTCGGAGCAAGTCAGCGGATGGATGGAGGAAATGCCAGATGGATGGGAAGCGGTCACTTTCTAGGGTTGTCACGCCGATAGGGCTCTTTCCCTGAGAGTTGTCATTTAATGGAGATAGGTCTTTGCCCCTTCTGTCTTGTCCTTATAGCCTCTGCCTCTTTCTGGGTAAGAGTACTTCTGTCTGTCTCTGTCTTCCCCTCCTTCCTCGTCTCCCCTCCAGCTCCTGTCCCCACTTCCCTTTCTCTACCTCCTTCTCTTCCTGTCTCCTTCCCAAGCCCTCCTCCCACTTGCAGTAACCATAACATAAAAGAATATGAAACTGGAGCATCTATTTGTCTTCTCGTATTGTTTTTAGAGCAGGTTAATGGAACATGTCATCTTGGATCTGGTCACTCCCTTTCACACACCCCCCTTGCAGGAAACCTCCTGTAGCTTAATGGCCCTCCATGAGAAAACCCAAAAGGTGAGGCTAAGCTATTCCCACCAAGGCACCGACCTTCCAGGGCAGGCAGGAGGTGGAACCGCGCACCCTGGGCCTTGCTGTGCTCGGGGGCTTGGGTGAGAAGAAGGATGCTAGGGAAGACTCTTGAGAGCAGAAAGGACAAAGGGAGAGTTGTTCATCACACAGAGGTCGGACGTGCGGCAAGAGTGACAAGGAATCCCTCCCTGGCTGTAGACTCCATCTGATACCCAGAGAAGAGTTTCATCCTGTTTCTTCTAGGTGGTTCAGGGGCCAGCTCCTGATACACCATGAGCTATTTCTCTGCCAAAAAAAATTCTTATTCTTATTATTCTTATTATTATTCTTCTTATTATTATTTTTGGAATAAGAGGAGAAAGCATTTAAAGCAGCGATCAAACCTCCCCCTTGTCTCTGGGATAAAGCACAAGGCCAGGCCCGTCAACCTCCAGAGACAGTCCACAGTGCAGTCACTGGCTTCCCTCCAGAGGGAGGGAGTTGTTCTGCCCAGGAGGGTCACATAAGACATTCTGATTCTTAGGGCCTTCAGGTGGCCCTTGCAGGCCAAGGGCTGCCAGGACTGTCTAGCAGATGACCCCGGCCTGGGTGTGATGGGGGAAACGAGACACAGGATATATGACAGGGCGGAGCAAGGGCTTTAAGCTCACCTGTGCTTGGATACAAGTGGTGAGGCTTGTCTGTGCACGCGAGCCTCCATCCATCCCTGGAGAGGCAGAAAAAAAAAAATGATGATTGTGTCCTGCAGGGAGACCTCTTAAAATCTCACTCTGAGCCTCCTCTATCAATTGGCTGCAAGTACAAGAAATCCGACCCAACCACAGAAGTTCGAGAAGGCTGTCTCTCTCCTGTGGGGCCCCGGTCCTGCAGACCCTGCGCAGAGCGTGGGGCTGCTGCGAGATGGTTTTCTTGCGAAGCAGTGACTCCCGCTAGGGTCTGAGCCTTCCGGCTGGGCCTGCTTAACCAGAGTAATTAAAACCAGAAAGCCCCATGCGGCATCAGCCCCGCAGATAATTAATGAGGCACAAATTAGAGGGCCGAGCCCGAGGACGTGTAAGTAGCATAATAAAGTGATCCAGCCTTTCAGTAAGAGGGCCTGGAAGCTCATGCCTATCACTTTGCTTGAAACTATACAGAGATTTTTTTTTCCCTTTTTTGTTGAGAACATGGGCAAAAGACCTCATAGGCAGCAACAAGCTTCAGACCACACACATGCACCCATGCACTCACATACCTGCACACACATGCTTGCACGCGCACACATGTGCAGTGGCATGGCCCGGAAGTTCCAGCAGAGAGATGACCCCAGGAGAAAAATTCCTGGAGGTTTTAGGGAAGAAAGTGTCAGCTCAGTTTAATCTGAACAGCATTTTTGTGCAACCATTTGACCTTCAATGGGAAATTTTCTTCTTTTGCCTTTTCCTTTTTCTTTCTTTTTTTCTATCCACTCCCCACCCCCAGCCCCTTCACTGAACACCAAGTTGGGCAAGCAACAGAAAGGAGGGCTGGGACTGCGTAAACACACCTGGGGCGTGTGCAGGGACAGGCTGAAGAGGGAGAGGCCAGCAGAAGGTACAGGGAACAGGAGGAAAGTGGGGTTAGAAGTCCTGTTGGAAGATGGGGGGGGGGTCTTTGGAATATTTGGACAGAGGAGAAGGTAACAAACCAGAGAGGTCTTTCAGGAAGGGTCCTGCTGATGCTGTGGGGCCGGGCCTTGCAGGAAGGGTTGTTGTGGCAGGTGGGGCTGGCTGATTGGCTCTAGCTTCCGGTGCCCCCCCCACCCGCCTCCCCATCCAGGTCAACGGGATGGACATCAGCAACGTACCTCACAACTATGCCCTGCACCTCCTGCGGCAGCCGTGCCAGGTGCTGCGGCTCACAGTGCTGCGTGAGCAGAAGTTCCAGAGCCGGAGCAGCGGACAGGCCCTGGATGCCTACGGGCCCCGCAGTGACACCTTTCATGTGATTCTCAACAAGAGCAGCCCCGAGGAGCAGCTGGGAATAAAACTGGTGCGCAGGGTGGATGAGCCCGGGGTGTACATCTTCAACGTGTTGGACGGCGGTGTGGCGGACAGACACGGTCAGCTGGAGGAGAACGACCGTGTGTTGGCCATCAACGGACACGACCTTCGGTATGGCAGCCCAGAAAGTGCGGCTCACCTGATTCAGGTGAGTCACGGGTCATTGCCAAGATCCTGGTTAGCACCTGTCAGCGTAAGTGAGATGCTCGTTACCCTGACCTACCCGCCCTCTGACGACCGTGTGTGACGTGCAGTGGCCCCCTTCCCAGGAGTCAAGACTGAAGGGCCAGGTAGGAACATTACTCCAGCAAAAGATGTGTCTCAGGCCCACGGCCGTTCCCTCAGTGTTGCCAGCCATCCGATCTGACTGCCCACGTAGGGGTTGTAACCTAACCAGGTGAAGGTCACTTAAGATCAGCAGCGTTGTGTCATCCTTGGACCCAGTCTGTTATTTGCAGACCCAGGGGTCATTCACATCCATTCTGGACACTTCCAAGACACCTAGGGGTACTAACTCCCGTAAGAAGCGGTGCCATGGGATCCCTGGGTGGAGCAGCGGTTTGGCGCCTGCCTTTGGCCCAGGGCGCGATCCTGGAGACCCGGGATCGAATCCCACATCGGGCTCCCGGTGCATGGAGCCTGCTTCTCCCTCTGCCTGTGTCTCTGCCTCTCTCTCTCTCTCTCTCTCTCTCTGTGACTATCATAAGTAAATAAAAATCAAAAAAAATAAAAAAAAAGAAGCGGTGCCATGTGCCCTCCAGGAATCCTGTGGATGGAGACCACCGTGGGATTGGCTAAGGCTGAGCCTCCTCTCGATGGCTGAGTCCAGCCTTCTTGGAAAGCCCGTGGGAACTCAAGTATGAATCTGTCAGAAGGGCCCTAGAAAGAGAGGCATACAAGTGATGTTCCCGATAGCCTGACATTGGTTCAAATGAATTCACTTTCCTGACTGGCATAGCATCATCAAGCCCTAGCCTGGGTCTTGTTGTCTTTGGCTAGGTCACCATGTTTTTCCAATATTTAATGAGCTGCCGTCTTTATTCTTAGGCTTTGTTGTGGGCTCTTGTACTCTAATTCATTTATTCACTCCCTTTAGCCAAGATGTATTAAGTTTCTGCTACTCACCCAGCCACGGTGTCAGGTACAGAGAACATAGAGATGGTGGCCTCTTAGGCTGCTCTCTCGAAGGAGCCCAAATCTAGTACAGGGGATGGACTTTCTGTAAATAATTGCCATAGGATATGTTAGTACTATAATGTTGTTTCAGATGGAGAGATCTTTCTTGCATGGGCCTAGGAATTCTTTACAGGAAAAAATCTTGAACTTGGGGCTTTGAGGAATCAGTAGAAATTCTCTAGGTAGACAAGGCAGGGAGGGTCATTTTAAGGCAATACACCACAAAGGAACATTTCCCTGGAAGGTGGTTAGGAAAAGCATTAATACCTGGAGCGTGGTGTCTATTATAAAAAGCAGCCGTAGCAAGGCAGGGTTGGGAGGCAAGGACCAGATCCTGCAGAGTTTTATAAGCCACTCTAAGAAGTTCAGACTTTATCCTCAAGGCCATGGGGGTGTCCCTGGAAGGGTTTAAGAAAGGAAGTGACATGATTTTCTAGATCTCTCTAGAGGTAGTAGAGAGCTGATAGGGGAGGGGCCCGATTAGAGGCCTTATCGTATGAAGCGTTTGCAATTACCCGGCACACCACGTCAGCTTCCAATTAAAGTATTAATACTTCAAGAAGGGACAGCGAGTCAGCAGCAGTAGTTGACTGAACCTTGTACCAAGCTCCGCGGAGGATGATAATCAGAAGACAGAGAGTACTTTCGAGAACTTGGTCGCTTACGCACACACACAAATCTCCCTACCCTGGGTTCCGGCCATGGAGTTCCTGCAGGTGTTCACAAGTCTCTTCATTGTAGTGTGCGTGGTATCTTCTCCTTCTTCCTCAAGGAGAACCAAGGAGTGTGTGCTACTGTCCTTTTAGGTGTGGACGGCCTGAGGCAAAGAGTGCAAGGAGACTTACCCTACGTCCTCCGTCCACCAGGATAGGAAGCACATGGGCGCTCTACAAAATCAGTCCTATCCTGTCACTCCCACGCTCAGCTCTCCAATGCTTCCCAAGACACCTAGATTAAAATCTCCAAATATTAGCAGTGGCCTTCAGAGCCATATGTAATTTGACCTTTAGTTATTTTTCCAAATTCATTTTGTAAGCAAAGTAGAGGATTTCTAGTATTCTCGCCCTTGTCTTAGCATGCTCAGTCACATTACCTCAAACATTGCTTGCTATTACTTGCTACTACTCCTCAAACATTTCAAGACCTCTTTCACCTCAAGGTTGATGTTCTTGCTATCCCTCTGACTAGAAGAATCTTCCAAATATCTAACTGCTACGCTTCATACAGGTATCCTCAAACGTCACCTCAGAGAGGCCTTCACCAACAATCCCACTTAAGATAGCTTCTCCCATCGCAGATCTACATCCTTTATGGAATATACTTTATTTTTTCCTACCAACGAATTACTTTATTACCTGTTGGCCTAGTGCAGAATAATACAGTAGAGTATTGTGACTCAAGCACTTAGAGAAATGTCTGGCAAGAACAGCCACTCAATAAATGTTTGTTGAATGAGTACATTGAGCCAAGTTATAAAAATGTAAATATACAGAAGATAAAATTTATGCATTAATTCCATCTCTTAGGGATTTTTCATCATCAAACCATTTGCCAAAGAACAAACACCAAATCGATTTTTACATGCTGTTTGTCCCCAAGATGGAATTTCTACATCTTTTCCTCTTGACTTTGTTCAGTTATTATTGGTTGAGCACCTTCTAGGTGCCAACAAGTGTGTGGCACAGTGGTAAACAAGATGGGCACAGTTTCTGGCCTTGTAGAGCTTGGAATATATTCTGGTCTCTGATCTCAAATACAATCAAGTCAGCATTTAGCAGGTGGTTCTAACTTGTATATGTCAAGGGATGAGAACAGAAAATAGACATTTTATGAAAACATTCACCCATGGAAAAGGAAGAATCATTGTTCTTGTCATGAACAAACCCCCTATGCATGATTTTTTTCTCCTCCTTTGGAATTAGACTTTTAGGCCATCATCAATTTTTTTTCCCCTATTGTGTTTGTCAACTCCCCCTGCAGGTCAGCTCATGTTCTAGAGATAAGCTGCCCACTACACCTCACAATAGGCATAAGAAAACCTCCCTTACTCATACCACTTGGACAAATTTTGATTACATGTGGCATTCTACTTTTTTAGATTAATAGCAGAAGAGGGGGAAAAATTTCCCAGAGAATGTAAATTTATGAAGTAAAATCTTGCCTAATAGTGGGACTTCCTAAAAGAGTCTTCTGCTTACTAAACAAAGCCAACGTACTTAAAAGCAGAAAAGGGGGAAAAAAATCTTTTAAAGGCTTGGGCAAAGCTAGCTGGAAAAGAAATGGAAAAAGTAGAGTGCTGGGAAAATCCAGTTAAGCAATCTCAAGCGTTGATTTTATTTATGTGATACTTGTAACACACACCAGGCAGCGGGAATTAAACTTAATACCCTTCAAAGGTGGAGAGTCAAGTTACCCACCAATCCTTGGCTGCCTGGCCCTCGTGTATCTCCTCCATGAATCATACTTGCCTTAGAAAGAAATTCCCAGACAACATGTCCTTTTGGTCATGTTTTCTCCCACAGTACCACACTTTTGCCTTTTTCTCCATTATTTCAGGGAAAAGCTATTACAGAGAAGCCACAACTGTTTTAAATTTGACCAACTTACATATGTGGAGTCCTACCCCCACTTACTCAGCAGCCCCGGGTGCCAGACCCCAGGAGTGAGTCGGACTCCTCCAGGAGGAGAAACCCTAAGGAGACAGAAGCTTCGAATATGGAGTAGTTGACTCCAATTAACTTTATTGACTTTTTTTTCTCCATTGTCAATTTCTTGATTTTTTTTTTTTTTTTTGAGCACCAAGTCTAGAATAACTGAAGGAAAGAGGCAGCTTAGTGACACTGCCTGGTGTCCTACCTAAAACCAGAGAACCACAAAATACAGACCAAAGATTGAGACTCAAGGGAAGAAAGGGCTCTCCACCCCCCTATCATGGAGATTGCTTCTCCCTCCCCACACATCAGTGTGCAAATGATTTATGCTGACAGGTATGCCTATTTTGAGATGTTCTCATCTATCTGCAATTCTGGAGCAGGGAGTTCAGATGTATTTGGGAGTTCAAATATATACAGTTAATAAGTGAAGAAAGTAATTTTGGATTTCGAATTTGAGTCTCTTTTCTATGCCTTTTTTTCCCCCTAGGCCACTCCCAGACTTGAGGCAGATGCAGAAACATAAATTCAAAGCCATCCGTAGAGGTGATAATAACATAGGTTTTCATTAATACTTGCATATGTGGGATTATTTTTTCCTCTTTGCATGAATTAATATTTCAATGAGAAGTTATTTTTATCAAAGAACTACCAACACCCAGGCTCTTCGAACTTTTCAAAAGAATGTGAGAGGCTCTAGACAGAGCCAGAAAGTAAATAACGAACTCCTCGTATTACCTACATTTGTTCTGAACACGTGATTCCAGCTCATGAGTTCTGCACAACTGGAAAACAGACAGAAATCTTGTCCCCTGGAGCCAGTAAGAACTGCCAGTGAAATAAGACCTGATAGATCAATGTGCTTTTTACAAATCAGCACAGCTAATACCGAGTCAAATCCCCCATTTAGACCAATTTTATTAACACGGCATTGTAATAAATTTAATACAAAGGCTAAAGAATACATAGATGTAAGAACAGTCTTCTTGAGATGAATTCTCAAAGCCCAGATGATTTTTCTATAAGGCTCTAAATTTCATGCGTTCATGATAAAGCATGGCTTGGGACACTGTACAGCTTCTTAGAATTTTGTGAGCAAATCTGATGCACAGCTACACACTGCAAATATTAGGGAATTTTTAAACTTTTTTTTTAGGGAATCTTGAGGCTTCACTGCCCTTCCTCCAACTCAATAGATCCCTCATGTTGCATTTTTTTTAACACCACGGAACAGAATGAACCATGAGAGTCACTTCTAGATACCATAAAAGATATGACATTTGAGCCAAGGGATGTGGGCCATTCCGCTGACTGAGCAATC